ATTTTTTCCCTCCAATTTTTTTTTTTTGTGTGTGATTTGGGTGAAATTTCCATATAGCAGTTCACACACACGTTGTCTCATGACATTGACTACAATTCACCACAATGCAACAGCTCCCATCCCACTTCCTTCCGATAGTTACCTCTTTCCTGTGCCCATCCCTCCATGCATTCCTGCCCCCTGAGCTGTCTCCGTGTGCATAAACAGCCCTTCTTTCTCCTGTGATTGTTCTCTCCAAGGAGTGTATCTACCTCAGGTACATGTTCAACTCATATGCCTGTCTTTTGTTTGGCTGGAAGCCACAGGAGTGGGTTCAATTCCAGACCTGAAGGGCAGCTAGGGACCATAGTCTCAGTGGTTCCACCAGGCTCTATCACTCCAGCAAACCTGGGCCCCCTTTATTTTTCCCCAAATGATTTTGAGTTTTGTTCCACATTGTTCCCCCTCTCTACCCAGGATCTCCTACATAGATCCCGCTCCTAGTGGTTGACAGTGGTAGCCGGGCACCATCTAGTTCTTCTGGTCTCATAGTCGAATAGGCTGCAGATCGCATGGTGTACCAGTCGCTAGGACTAATTCTTTCCATGAATCTTTGGTTTTCTTCATTCTTCTTTGCTCTGGATGAGGAGAGACCCATCGTTGCATCTAGATGGCTGCTCACAACTTTTTAAAGTCCCAGTCACTATTCGCCAAAGTAGGAAGTGGAACAATGTTTTGTGTAGCGTGTTATGCCAATACATTGGATTTTTGTTGCTGTTGTTGTTACATTTTGAGTTTTTATCCAAAAAAAGAATAGAAATAATGCTTCTTGCAGCCAGGCATGAAGCACTGGATTGTGTGGGAACAGCCCCCTCTCTGCTGGCCAAGGTGAGAGCCATCAGCACTTCCAGACTCACACCCAGAGACACAGTGAGTGGTGCTGAGGGGCTCCTGTTCATTAGGAAAGGGGCTGCGTCCACACTGCTCAGTGTTAGGCGTGAATCGTGGAAAGGGGCTACGTCCACACTGCTCAGTGTTA